AGAAGACAAAGTAACTGATAAAATAAAGCGAATAAAAATTAGTGGGTTCTAAGTCTCACGCCCATCTTTTAGCACACTCCCTTGCCGCTGTGCCTTTGTCCATCTTGTTGGTCTAGTCACTCTGGAATTGTTATCAGAGCCTGAGACTATTTCTAACAAAGAATTTTCCCGAAAAATATTTAGAAATGGAAGAAAAGGTTTATGTTTTTTCCCCTCAAAATATAAGTCTGTTATTAGGATATAATTTGGAGTATGAGAAATATTGCTTTTGCTTTCAAATTAAAGTAGAAAAGAAAGAAAATGACATCCCAAAGTTCTGTTTTTGTGAAAGATACTGTAACTATGGGTTTTGAAGGCAGTATATGCAAAATACAAAACAAGTCTTTCTAAAACATTGCTCCAAAGTTTCCTGTGACTGTATGTGTGCATATATTCGTGTGTTGTGTGTGTGTGTGTGTGTGTGTGTGTGTGTATGTGTGTGTGTAAAGTTTCTGAAGTCAAAGACATGGTGCAGCATGCGTTTTAAAAATAGCTGTTTAACATTTTGAAGGATATTCCATTTACTGTTTCTATAGCTTGAATTCAAGGGCAGGAACAATGATTTCAACCCTCTGTATAAGAATAAAGAACATTTTAAAATGTGCAGTTTAAGTTTAGACATTTTAAGTAGTTCTGTATTTGCATGAAAGAACAGTGGGTCATTTTTTCTCAGGTTATTAGTATTTGGGGGATTTTAAATTGAAGAAAATCTTGAGTTTCTTTGTAAATGAAGTCTTGACCAACTCATTCTCTACTTGTTTGACATTGTTTCATCTCCCTGAGAAATTCACAGAATAATCAATAGGTAATAAGTAGTGTCTCTTTTGAGACTTTGAGATATTTTACATGTTGCCCCTGTTCTAACATGGTCCTGTGTGGCTTCTCTGTACTCAGGGTACAAGTGTACGGGAGATTAGAGGACATCTTATCCTAGTCTCATGGTGGTGGATAAAGAGTGAGCATTCATTGCCCACACTGTAACAGCCCTCCAGGACACTTGACTACATCTGTTTGTAGCTTCACACAGTAAATGTTTCCTTGGGGAATACTTCCTTCCTGTTTCTGCTATGTCTTCGTGTTTTCTTGGGATATATTTCCTGTTTCTTCTGTGCTTTCCTGGGAGAGTCTTCCTTCCTGTTTCTGCTGTGTCTTCTATGTTTTTCTGGGGAATACTTCCTTCCTGTTACTGCTGTGTCTTCTGTATTTTCCTGCGGGAGTTTTCCTTCCTGTTGCTGCTGTGTCTTCCATGTTTTCTTTCCACTTACCCACCTGTTTGACATTTTCTTTGTTGTGTCTGACTACATTTTGTTAGCTTCCTTCCCTTTGCATGTTTGTTTCCTACTGAGTGCCTGTTCCATCTTCTCCAGGAGATCATCAAGAAACTCTGACTTTCCTCTGAATCCCAGTTTCAGCACTATATAGCAAATGCTCCATCTGCCCTGTTTTACCTGGACTTTGTAACTACTGCAGTTACAGGACTTTTCCTTTCTGTCTCTTCTTATGCTTGTCAGTTCTTTGGTACTATCTTATATATTTAGTCTCTAGTTTAAAAATGGCTCAATAAAGTTTTGTCAAATGAATTGACAGAAGAACTTAGAGCCTAAAAGGAAAAAACAGATCTTTTCCAGTTGAATAAAGAGAAAATAAAATGTGTCAGTCAAGAAATAGTATTTGTTCTTGTTCTTAACATACAATTTATTTTCCCTTTGTGAACTCCAAAGAAATATCACTGCGGCTTGCTTAATTTCACCAATCCTTCTGCCCCTGCACAGCGACACTGTACTGAAAAGAGATAAATGTGCACTCCTTCCTGTCTGCAGAACCTACTGTGAGTCTGTTGGAACTTGAGTGCCAGTGCTGTGGGCCATAAGAAGAGCTGGCTTCAACTCTGTACCACTCTTGTCTGGATCTAAGCCGCTCTTTCCTTGGCATCCAAAGGACATATCTTTATCATTCAAAGGTTAAGATTGTGTATTTTAATTTTTCTAAAATTAGCCCTGACCTTTTAGAAAAAATAGATTTGATAAACATATTATTTTCTCATCTACTGCCATGGGAAAACTTTGGCAAAGAAACTTAAAAAGGAAGGATTTGTTTTTGATTTTGTTTGTTTTTTGTTTTTTTGAGGTTAAATCCAACATGACCCAAATATCAAAGTGTCAGGAGCTTGAAGTAGCTGGTCATGCCACATTCCCAATCAGGCATACAGAGTATACTGCTGCTTAGCTCACTTCTCCACTATAGTCCAGGACTGTAGCCAGGGAATTAGTGAATCTTTCTAAAAAGAATAGTCTGGTGAAAAACTTTCATTACTTTGATTGTTTAACAAAATTTAACCTTTAAAGGTATACATAGGTATTGTGATTATAGAAACAAACAAAAAGACAAAAAAGTATATAAATATTTATAAGAAAGAAAATCAGCCACAATGCAGAGTTGCCATACTTTTCACAATGCTTAAATATTATAGTAAGTTTTTATTTCTGAAGCTTGTTTGTTAAGGAGGGAAGGTCACCCCCATACCCTAAGGAAACTAACACCTCGAGACATTAAAGGCTTATCTACTTCTTAAATGAAAAGGTACCAAGTGACTACATTGGATCTAGCAATTGAAGATGCGGTGCTGGATCATTTATCCTCCTTTATTTTGAGGGTGAAGAGACAGATTTATGCACAAACATAGATGTTAACATTAGTTACAAAAAAGTTGGTGCACACCTTTAATCCCAGCACTCAGGAAGCAGAGGCAGGCAGATCTTTGTGAGTTTGAGCCCAGCCTGGTCTGCAAGAGCTAGTTACAGGACAGTCTCCAAAGCTACAGAGAAAGCCTGTCTTGAAAAAACAAACAAACAAAAACAAAGCAAAACAAAAAATAATTATAATGGAAACAAAGATGATGTTAACAGCTTAGAGATTTGGTTGGATAGGGCTCCATGGGAAGTTATTTTTAAAACATTCTCATTGCAGAGTGAGTGGAGGTATTTTACAGGAGCACTGTTGACTAAAATGTGGCTATATATGACATTTAATTTTTCTAAATTCTTCATTAAGGATTAATGACAAATAAGTAAAGTTTAAATAAGTTTTAAATAATCCAATATATCTGGAATAATTTTTTCTCATATTTACATCTTTAAAATCAAAGTAGTTGTATATTTTGCACCCATGAAATAAAAATATTTCAGGTTGCACTAGCTACATTGTAAATACTGCATGTCTACAAGATATGAAATATTTATATACGAGGCAAGGAGAGGGAGAAGGAGCAAAGGAGGGAGGGCAGGCAAGATGGACAGATAGAGGGATGAAGGAATGAAAAAGGCAAATTAAACAAGGTTGCCAATGCCATTTTAAAAGTTATTATTTGTCAGTTGAATTTGAAATGTATCTGTATAACAGTTTATGTCTCTGAGATCTGTGGTTTAAGAATAGCTTTCAGATTTTTGAAAGTTTTGAAGACTAATATCTTTGTGCAATAAGGTAACAATGAATTAATAAAGGAAAGGAAATAAAAACACTTTTTTGTGAGAATTAAAAATCTTGTCTATTTTGTGTTTTGTGAGACAATTACTAATGTAACTAGTAATAAACAGAAATTTATAGGCTCACTGATTTGGAGCCTGGAAAATCTGATAGAGGGTTTTTCTTATTGTGTAACCGCACAGGACAAGATTGTGTGGCAGAGGACATGAGAGGCTGTGAAAGAGAAACCAAAGAGAAGGTTCTAAAGCACCTACCCTTGTGAAAAAATCAGTTCATTAGGACTTCAATACCTAAACTTAAAGGTCTCACCACTCAGCAACTCTACTGATGCCAATTAAATAATGGTATGTCTTTTAAAAGGGGCAGTCAAGCCACAATGTATGCACAGTTTAAAGGGTGTCTGACCCAGTATCGTCCAAACTTTCTGCAATGATAGTAATTCTGTTTGAGTTGTGTGGTATGGAAGTCACTAGTCACATGTGCCTACTAAGTGCCTGGAATGACTGCAGAATTAACTTTAAATTTTTTTTTAATGCTAAGGGACTATTATCTCCTACACTGAGCAGCACTAGATACACTTATTCTCAGTCTGCATGTCACCCTATGGGTCTGAACTCCCTGCAGTGCTAAGTGAGTAGCACTGTTGAGCATAGAGCTTAGAACTGGAGAAACTATGTATTCTCAGTTTCTTAATCTCTCTGTCCTGATGCATCAGTTCCTTGTTTATAAAAAATAAAGGGCATAAGTGTCTGCCTCCTGAAGTGAGGCCCCTATGGGGATCAAATGTGATAACAAGAGCATTTTATTTAGGACAATGTCAGTCTGATACATAAGCAATCATGGTAAAATGTATTTGTTGTTTTATTATTATTGTGTGAGTGATGGGTATCACAGAGCTAAATACTAGCGAATCCCATGCTTTGTTTCTTCATTTGTTTAATTCTATGCTTCTAAAAGCGTATCACAGTTCCTAGAGTATAGCTGAATAAATATTGTTGAAAAGAATCAGGTATTTTTAGTGGAAATGGGATTAGGAAAAGTACTGAGAAAAATGACATCTGAGATAACCCCAGAGGTCAAGTTGGGCAGACAAAGAAAAAAGAGCTAATTTGGGCAGAGGAAAAATGGACACCCAGTTGAACAGTGCTCCACTAATAGGGAAGTGCAGCTAGTATCCCCTTTACCATGCTGCCTCCTTCCTCCTGCTCCCGCCTCTTCTCTGTCTCCCTCTGTCTCTCTGTCTTTTAGTAGCAAGATCCTAGGTAAGGAGTGATTCTATAGGTTTACTACACACTGCCCGGTTAATAAGTTCAATCATTGCTGTTCGACGGGTCTATCCCTAGGAACTGTATTGCTTGAATATGATTGGGGACGTTTCATGATGGTTGGAAAGGAAGAAGGATGCTGCTTGAAAAGCAGGCTGTGGATTGTGAGCAGATGCCTAAAGTATGCTTCTTTTTCTTATTCATTTCTCATAGGAAAAAATAAACAACTGGGAACAATGAAGTTCCTTTTCTTCATGTTTGGCGTCATTCACCTTTTATCCCCAAGTTCTGGAAAAGCTATATACAAGAATGGCATTTCTCAGAGAACATTTCAAGAAATACAAAAAGAAGTAGCCAGCTATGAAGATGTTGCTAAAGCAATTATTAACCTTGCTGTTTATGGTAAATGCCAGAACCGGTCCTATGAGCGTTTGGCACTACTAGTTGATACTGTTGGACCCAGACTGAGTGGCTCTAAGAACCTAGAGAAAGCCATCCAAATCATGTACCAAAACCTACAGCAAGATGGTCTGGAGAATGTCCACCTGGAACCAGTCAAAATACCCCACTGGGAGAGGGGAGAAGAATCTGCAGTGATGCTCCTGCCTAGAATTCACAAGATGGCAATTTTGGGTCTTGGCAGCAGCGTTGGAACTCCCTCAGGAGGTACTCTTGGCATTTTCAATTGGCTATGCTCTTTAATCTAATCTCTGCTTCTCCCTCTCCCTCTTTCCCCTTCTTTACCTTGTTTTGACACATGGATTTTTTTTTATGTAAACTAGTCTAGCCTTGAATTCATTATGTATTCAAGGGTGACTTTGAACTTGTGATCCTTTTTTTCCTCCTCCTGAGTGCTGAGGTTAGAGGTGTGTCCCCACACCTGATTTCTGTGATGTTAAGACTTAATGTTTGCTAAACAAGTATTCTAACAGTGCTACACATCTGTGGTTCTACTCTCCTTTAGTTTTATACAACCAATATTCACTGACATGACTGACAACATATGTGATTTCTACTGTGAGAAAATGTAATCATGTCTCATTTGATTTTCTTAGTGAGTTCTCAACCCTTATTGTTTCTCTTCCATCTTCCTTCTTCCATTTTTCTATTTTTCTTCAGAAAGAAACTGTACTGGGTGACTTCTTAGATGAGTTATTATCAGCACTCTGGCTTCAGCTTTATCTAGCAATTTCATGCCTAGATATGGAATATATAGCCAGTTAGCAGTCACTTACCAGAAAAACTTGAATGTATTCATGAATTAATTTCCTATGGCAAAGAAAGTATTTTGTATTCTTTTGACTTTCCCTTATGCCAAGACCCGGCAGACACATAGTTTATTTAGAAATCATTAATGAGAAATATTCATGTACTATAATATCTAACCATTAGAAACATAGAGTAATGATTTTTAGCATATTCACAGAATTGTTCAGTCTGATTATAGAACATTTGGATTGTAGAACACACTCTGATTGTTGAGCATTTAATTATTCCCTCCCCAGACCTCATAACTAGGAGAAGCCACATTTAATCCTCTAGTCCCACTCCCCAAGATGCAAGAAGCCACCAATCTGCTTTCTGTCCCTTCCTGGACTAGTCACACGGGTGGAACAATGCACTCTGTGGTTTTTTGTGACTTTCCAGGTCACCTATGCTGCGGCACATTAAGAGCTTCTTTTCGTTGGTGAAAGGCACTTTATTTTTGTTGTCTTTATCAGTCAACGAGTCTTTAGACTCGCTGTTTTCACTTTTCCTGAATAATGAATAATGCCATTATATACATTTATCACAAGTTTGTGTGAATATATTCACATTAGTCTTGTTTATATATCAAGGAGAAGAATTTCTGGGTCATTTGGTAACTTTAGATTTAATTACCTTGGTACTTTCAAGCTGTTCTCTGAAATTTGTACCATTTTCTGCTCTTGCTAATAATGTACAATTTTCCCATTTACTTGCAAACATTTCTATTTATCTGTCTTTTTGGATATAACTACCAAACAGTATCTCTCTATGGTTTTCCTTTGTATTTTATTAATGACAAGTAATATTGAACATCCTTCCATACTATTTATTATTACTTTTAATTAATTAGTTAGTTAATTTATTATGTGTGTGTGCAAGTGTGTGCATGTATGTATATGTGTTTCTTTATGTACACGCATGTGTGTGCATGTGTGTATGTATATGAACGTGTCTCTGTGTGTGTGCATGTGTGTGTGTATGCAAGTGTCTCTTTGTGTATGCGAATGTGTGTGTGCATGTGTGTGTGTGTCTTTGTGTGTGTGAACATTCCACAGTGTACATACAGAGGTGTGGAGGTCAGAGGACTACTTGCTGAAGTTAGTTCTCTCCTCCCACCTTGTTGGTCTTGAGAATTATATACTGCATATAGCTCATCTCTTTCCATCTTCTGTATCATGCCAAAGTTCAGGACCTAACATAGGCTACACCATATGTTATAAAAACCAAGTTTTCTAGGTTTCTTTTAACTGATACTCCTGACTTGCTTCATTTGAATTGATTTCTATGCTGTTGTTTTTGTACAATATGTCTTTGTACAATATGGACTGCATTCTACTCTAGGACTTAAACTCATTCCATTGTTAAGGGTATGGTTCAAATTATGATCTCTGTTCCGTGTTTGAAAACTCATTCATACTTAAACTTTCTTCAGAACTATGTGATGTTCCTAGTGCTTTTATATGTCTGCTGTATCTTATACTGAGAAGGTTTAATTTGCAGTTGAGCAGCAGTGTCAGGGAAGAGGGAGATCAGTGAACACCAGCCAAGTCACAATTAGGGTGTTCACTATGATCTCTTCTCTCTGGAAAGAGAAGCAGCAGATGGAGGGGTCTGGAAAGCAGCAACTTAGTCTTACCTCTGAGTTTGTCTTAAAATATCTTAAAGTAGCCATCTGTATTCTCCTAACACCACCACAGAGGCGTTCTACATCCAGCACTTCCGGTTTGTTGCTCCGGCAATAACTAGCTTACTATTAAGATCCTACTATAGGATTATTAATCATTTGCTCCTGACCTTTTCATCTTCCTCGGTTTCACCATAGAAATAGCATGATCTCAGTTGATGGGGGAGTATAATCTTTGATATCTAGTCACACTGAGTAGTAGTGCTGTGGAGATAGTGTATCCTTGGGTACTTTGCATTTGGAGGTATGAAATCAGCTGGTGAATCTGAGTGCAAAGTGTCAGAGTTTCCAAGTTTGACTAGTTGTTGTGCAGATTAACTCACATTGTCTTTGGGTAGGTATGAGGCCACATTAGGGTAACAGCATCTTGCCAAATACCAGTGCTAATCTAAGACAAACTTCTATACTGTGACCATACCTTTATAAGGGTTTTCTTTCTTCGTCTCATCTAGTCTATTTCTGCTCATATCTTTCAGCTATACATATTTATCCCTAATTATTTCTGTAAGAATAGGATACTACCATATGTTCCTCCTGGAAAGTTAAGATGCGAGGGTCAGAAAGTCTGGGAAACAATGACTGGATTATATGCTGAACTTTCTGCATTCCTTTTACAGGAACACAGAGTAGCTTTGCATTTTCTTTGCACCTTCATATTGTCATACTAGCATGACTCAGAAAGTCAAAGCAATAAATCAAAATCACTACTGAATTTGTTTACATCAAAATCAAGAAATTATATTCATGACTAGTGAGACTGCTCAATAGGTAGAGGACCCTGGGAACATCCCGAGGACCTTAGTTCCATTCCTTGATACCACAAGATGGCAGGGGAAAATAATTACAGAGTTGTCCTCTGACCTAGGCAACCTGGTGGTGTCTGAGACCTGAGAACTGGAGAGCTGGTTGTATAGATTCTATTTGGGGTTGAATTGCCTGGGAACCAGGAATGTTGAAAGTAAGAAAGATTGATGTCTCATCTGAGTCAGTCAGTGTAATTCAACATTCTTTTGCCCTTTTGTCTATTGAGGCCCTCAGTTGTTGCATGATGCTAGTCCAAATTGTAAAGACATCTGCTTTACCTAGCCCACAAGTTCAAATACTAATCTTTTCTAGAAACATCCTCACTGCTACAGCCAGAAGTAATGTTTAATCTGCTCCCAGTGCATTCGATGTCCCAGAAAGCTTCTTTATGACAAATGTGTGGAAAAAGAGAAAAACCTGAGAGGATTCAGATTTTAAAGGGCCAATGGTTTGGATTTGTCCCCAGAAATGGAGTAACAAATGAGTTAAAATAATAATTAATATCTTCCTCATATAAGAGATGAAGTTGGGAGAATCAAAGATTATCAAGTGTTTTAAGTTTGAGTTAGTGAAAGAAAATGAAGTGATGATGAGGGATTCCCCTCTGTATGCTATGTTGTTTTATTACCATTGGTTAATAAAGAAGCTGTTTTGGCCTATAGTAGGGCAGAAGATAGCCAGGCTGGAAGAGATATAGAGAGAGAGTAGGCAGAGTCAGAGAAGCTTGACATAGCTGCCAAAGGAGACAGATACCAGTAAGCACAGCCTTGTGGCAATACATAGATTAATAAAAATGAGTTCATTTACAATATAAGAGCTAGCTAGAAATATGCCTAAGTTATTGGTCAAACAGGGTTGTATGTACATAGTTTCTGTGTGATTATTCGGGTCTGAGTGGCCAGGAAACAAAAGAGCAGTCTCTGTTTACAGAATGGTACCACAACATGGGCCAAGTACATCCACATAAAACCTGAGAGAGCTTGGGAAGGAATTCTAGACACAAAAGAATGAGAGTTAAGCATAGCTTCTTGATAGCAAAATTTTCTCAGGTGGGCTCTGTTTGCTAGAGGCAAGCAGAGGCATGATTCCTTAAATTTCTGACTCAATCTTAGCATCAAAAACCGCACAGTTCCTTTAAGAGCCAGTTCCTGGTTTGTGCTGGTCCTGTTATGAACAATTAAATGGGTTTTATTAGCTGTGTGCTACTAGCTGCTTAATGGTGACATAGACAGGCTGTGTCCCTGGAGCTGGGGCGTTGAGCATGGCGCACAGTGCTGGTGGTGAGCATACCTCTGCCATGGCACTTAGCATTTGAGGAAGCACTCCTAGTCAGAAAATGATTACAGATACACAGTAAAGAAAGATTCGGACAAAAATAAACCTTTGAATGAGTCATAGTGTGTTTAAAAATGTACACAGGTTTGGGAGAGAGAGGAAAAAGAATATATACAATTATAAAAAAAATTAAATAGTTTTTAAAAATAAAATATAGTCTTTAAAGAGATAGTAAAAGTATTATCAAAGAGTACAGACAGTCTTAGAGTAAAGGAATAAAGAAAAAGAAGCTACATAAAGATGGAAAATGCAGAGAGTCCATTATGCATATTATTGAGTTTTCTCTTAATTTCTTGACTGCAGAGAGACATTTGACTCTGGGGGCTGCTAAGTAAAATCAACATAAAGGTACTTTGTCTTCAAAATTTGGGTCTGAGGTTATGCTGCTTTGGGAAAGAGGTTCTGTTTTTGTTTCCACACAAGATTAGAACCTATGGATTTCTTCCAGGCGAATGTGGTTTGATGGAACAAGACCCCCATCAGATATCTCTGAGAACCATAATAATACTTCACCCAAAACCATCAGGAAGCAGTTTGGAGAAAACTATGCACAAATCCTGAAATGATTGTTTATAAATGTTTATTTTCACTTTAA